AAAAAAAAAAGGTGCCCCATATCCTGGTCTCTTACTACTAGGTTGGCTGAGCTTTAGGACATAATATTCCTTACAAACTAGCTTCCCCTCGCTGCCTCCTTAGGAGGATTTGCAGTTTTGTTTGGTTCATGTTCTGTTGCCACCTCTCAGTCCCAGTGGGCTGGGGAGAAGTTCCCTTGGCTATGACTTGTGACCTTCGCTTCAAAGTGATGGGAAGCTAGTAGTTTGAACGTACCTCCCCTGCCTGTTTTGGGTAGGCTTGCCAGGTTACTTGCTTTTCATAAGGCTGTTGAAGATGAGGATTGTAACTGGAACAACCCTAATGAGCTCCCTTTTCCACTTCTTCTTTCTTCTCCCTCTTCCAGATCAGCCGTATTGAGTACATTCATTCCAAGAACTTCATCCACCGGGATGTGAAGCCAGACAACTTCCTCATGGGGCTTGGGAAGAAGGGCAACCTAGTGTACATCATTGATTTCGGCTTGGCCAAGAAATACCGAGATGCCCGGACCCACCAGCACATCCCCTACCGGGAAAACAAGAATCTAACTGGCACAGCTCGCTATGCTTCCATCAACACCCACTTGGGAATTGGTGAGCCTGTTGTCCTGTGCACAGATTTTTTTTTGGGTGGGGGTGGGGGGTAGTGGGGAATGACTCATCACGTTGAGGGGAGTGCCCAGGCAGTGTAGATCAGTGTAAGGGAAGAGACAGCAACTGCTACAGTGAAGCCTGCATAATTACTTCTGCTCTGATCTCCAGGCTGCAGTTGCTCCATGGTGCTTGAAAAGCAGCATGACCCAGTATACAAGGTGCTGAACTGGGACTTGGAAGGCCTGGGATTGTATTCCTCACTCTGCCCCTGAGTTGCTGGGTAACCTTGGGCTAGTCACTTCTACACTGTCTATCTCTATTCCTCCCAATCCTAGTCTATCTTTTGTTCATTCTGCATGCTATGGGGTGTTTTATGCACATGCTTGGGGAGGGGGCGGGGGGGCACTTTAATTAAAGCACATGGTGCATCAGGGTCCTCACGTTGAAAAGTGGTGGCAGGAACGCTTTAACTAAAGCTTGTTGGACAAGCTTTAGGTAAAACACCGCTGTCACCATTTTTCAGTGTGGGGGCGTTGATGCACATGACACTGGAGTCTGCTGGGGCATGGTAATTACCACGCTACAGCAGACTTGATTAATCAAGTCCACTCTGATGCGCTGTAATTATGTGCAGCCTCACTGCACATGTATAGGTGTCATATATTTTTGTATGGTAAAGGTGTTAAACTCATCCGGCCCTGCAGGCTGGATGGGTGGTGTAGGACTGGTCTCTGCCAAGGGTGGGGGCAGGGACAGAGGTTATTCCCCTTCTCTCTGGTGTCTGGCAGAGGGGACAGCAGGGAGCTTATTCCGCTACCGGGAGCAAGTGCAGCAGTGATGGTGAGCAGCCCCAGCTGCTAGTGAGGGTAGAGGGGAGACTAACCCTCCTCCCTGTCCCCCTCTGCCTCAGGTACCATGGTACCCTGCCACTGCAA